GTCAGTTGTTTATTATCATCATCATCATCATCATCATCATCATCATCATGGGAGGGGAGGGGAGGAGGTAGTCTGTCCCAGTGTGTGCAGACTATCCATCTTAACCCCCCCCCCACCCCCCCACCCGCTCCCCCTCCTTTGCACATCAACTGGGGTAGGGGGGCTGGATGGATGGACTGGGTGGGGTGGATTGAGTGTCCCAGTGTGTGCAGACTATCCATCTTAACCCCCCCCCCACCCCCCCACCCGCTCCCCCTCCTTTGCACATCAACTGGGGTAGGGGGGCTGGATGGATGGACTGGGTGGGGTGGATTGAGTGGGTGGGTGGGTGGGTGGGCGGGCGGGTTGGGGGGGCTTAGCCTTTCCAAATTTCTAGTCTCAACGAGTAATTATAAATATTTTTTTCAGGAGATGTTTTCAAGTGTTTTCCAGCACACACACACACACACACACACACACACACACACACACACACACACACACACACACACACACACACACACACACACAGAGGTAAAGTTTGAGAGTTCTTTTATAAATTATCGCCGGACAAACTGACTTAATTCAACTATAGTCTGGGAGAGTCTACGTCATATCTACGTCATATCTACGTCATATCTACGTCATAGTTCCTTGAGCTTAATGCGATGATGACGTCACCTATCCTTATTGCGATGATTTTGGTGTTTGTTCCGTATGTTTAACTTAACCTCTTGAGTCCGATGATTTAGGCGTTGAGTCCGATGATTTAGGCGGAGTACGATGATTTAGGCGTGGAGTACAATGATTTAGGCGTGGAGTACAATGATTTAGGCGAAGGGTGGGTGGCACGGGGATGAAGGGGGTGGCACGGGGTGAAGGGGGGTGGCAGGGTGAAGGGGAGGGTGGCACGGGGTGAAGGGGAGGGTGGGTGAAGGGGTGGGGGAGGGGTGGCACAGGGTGAAGGGGGGAAGGGGGTGGGGGTGCACGGGGTGAAGGGGGGGTGGCACAGGGGTGAAGGGAGGGTGGCACGGGGGTGAAGGGGTGGCACGGGGTTGAAGGGGAGGTGGCACGGGGGTGAAGGAGGGTGGCACGGGGTGAAGGGGAAGGGGGTGAAGGGGAGGGTGGCACGGGGGTGAAGGAGGGTGGCAGGGTCGAGGGTGGCGGGGGTGAAGGGGAGGTGGCAGGGGGTGAAGGGGGGTGGCACTGAAGGGGAGGTGAAGGGAGGGTGGCACGGGGTTGGCACGGGGGTGAAGGGGGGGTGGCACGGGGGTGAAGGGGGGGGTGGCACGGGGTGGCACGGAGTGAGGGGTGGAGAGGGTGCCACGCTTGTTTGCAGTGTTGACGACTCATAAGATTGAAGGAGGAGGTGCCAGTGTGTCCCCCTCCCCACCCTTGTTTACTTGCGAGGGGAAGGTGGGGAAGATGCCACCCCCACCCCTCTCCTGTCTATTTATCAAGGGGGGAGAGAGACAGGAGATGGAACTGTCTTCTTCCTTCCCGTTCTGTCTGTTTCCATGGGGGCTATTGAGGGCTGTTACTCCTTTTGTTGATATCAAGATCAAGGTAGGGACTAGGGGGCTATGACATAACCTGCTCCCTCCCCCTTCCCCTTCCCCTCCCCCACCGAGACTGTCATCTGTTTATTGGTGGTGACAGGGTGGAGGAGGTGAAGGGGGGCGGGAGAGGAACTTTAATCAGAAACATCCAATCGAGAGAGAAAAAAAGAATTTGCCCAAACGTATCTTGTCTGAATATTAAGCAAGATAGGATTGGCTAAGTCTAGGCAAGGGAGGGTGCTAGGATTTCCTGGCTGGCTAAGGGTAGTAAGGTAGGATTTATGGGGTCCGGTTAATGGATTAGGATTTATGGGGTCCGGTTAATGGGTTAGGATTTATGGGGGTCCGGTTAATGGGTTAGGATTTATGGGGGTCCGGTTAATGGGTTAGGATTTATGGGGGTCCGGTTAATGGGTTAGGATTTATGGGGGTCCGGTTAATAGGTTAGGATTTATGAGAGTTTGGGGGTCTTGTAGTGGTAGGGGAAGAACATAAGAACATAAGAATGGAGGAAACTGCAGCGGGCCTATTGACCCATACTGGGCAGTCCCGTTTACACCCAACCCCTATTGCTCATATGAGCATCCAACCTATGTTCGAAGCAATTCAGCGTATTCGAGTTAATGATGATATTTGGTAACTTGTTCCATTCATCCATTACTCTGTTTCCAAACCAGTGTTTACCTATTTCACGCCTAAATCTAAATTTGTCTAATTTAAAACCATTGTTACGAGTTCGCTCCTGGTTGGATAGTTTGAGTACCTTTGTAATGTCCCCTTTGTTTAGCCCTGCCTTCCACTTATACACCTCTATCAGGTCGCCCCTCGCTCTACGTCTCTCAAGGGAATTGCAAATTAAGATGCTTTAACCTGTCTCTATACTCAAGGTTCCTAATGCCCGGGATTAGTCTTGTCATTCTCCTCTGAATTCTTTCCAAGGATTCTATATCCATTCTGTAATACGGTGACCAGAACTGAACTGCGTAATCCAGGTGTGGTCTCACAAGAGCAAGATACAGTTTTAGGATGTGCGTGTGTGTGTGTGTGTCATTAATAATACTTATCATTCATCCATAGTGTTATCATCGGCGTCAGAATCGTCCTCGTCTGGGGTTAGCTTAGGTTAGGTTAGGTTTGTTTTGGTTAGGTTAGGTATTATTGTGTTAGTATTGTTTTGGTTAGCTTAGGTTAGGTTAGGTTTGGTTAGGTTAGGTTAGGTTAGGTTAGGTTAGGTATTATTGTGTAAGTATTGTTTTGGTTAGCTTAGGTTAGGTTTGGTTAGGTTAGGTTAGGTTAGGTTAGGTTAGGTTAGGTTAGGTTAGGTTAGGTATTATTGTGTTAGTATTGTTTTCACTGTCATCATAAAACAGCAACAGTATGGTAGGAGCTGCTGTACCATCGTTACAGGAAGGCGACAGCAACAACCACACTCGTAGTAGTAGTAGTAGTTAGGGATCTCACAGCAAATATGTTGAAGGAAATCTGCCGGGACGTCATGGTAGAACCGACCCTCCTTCCATTGGATGGCGAGATCTTCCAACACAGGACTTCAAACACATCTAATGAAGTCCGCGTGGACGTCAGTGCTCGAGGATTCTGGACGCGGGGACAGCGAGCTTTCTTCGACATCAGGATTTTTGATCCCATGGCCGCATGTCACCGTAACCTAGCTCTCGATGCTGCACATAGGAGGAACGAGAACGACAAGAGAAGGGCATATGGGGAGAGAATTCAAAACGTTGATCAAGGCAGCTTCACTCCTCTAGTGTTCACAACCTCTGGTGGGATGGGCCCAAGTGCAAGATGTTTCTACGCCAGACTCGCGGAGTTGATCTCCGAACAGAAGCAGCAGCCCAGAAGTTATGTTACAGCCTGGATGAGATGTCGACTGTCTTTCTCTCTCCTTCGGTCGGCTTTGCTTTGCCTCAGGGGAACGAGAGCTTCTGCCCCTACTCCGACAACTGCTGCAGATATTGACTATGAGGCTACAGTCACTGAATGCCGCATAGATCTGCGGCTCAACTAACTCAACACAGATAGGATAGCTTCTTATGTATTAGGATATTTAATATTAAGGTAAATAAATGGTGGCGAAGGTGTGGCTATTGGGGGAGGCTGGAGGCCACGTTTAAAAAAAAAGTAGTAGTAGTAGTACTAGTAGCAGTGGTAGAGTAGTAGTGGTGGTAGTAACAACATTTATATCGTCAAATATATATACAGAGAACCAAGGTAGTGAGAGGCAGCAAAATCACAGCACTGGCAGCTATAACATTATTAGGAACAGCACCATCATCACGGGAAGGAGGAGACGAGCACCACAGCAGCACCAATACAGCATCACAGCAGTAGCACCGTTACAGCAGAGAGAGAGAGAGAGCAGCACTATCACAGCCCTAAGACAAAAACAACAGCGAAGGAAGGGAGGAGACAGAAGCATCATAACAGCAACAGCGTGGGTAGAGGGAGGGAGACTCAGTACAGGACCGAGACAACATTACCATCATATCATCACAACACAAGGAGGGCAGCAATAAGGGTGGGTAGGGAGGGAGGGAGGGAGGGAGGGAGGGAGGGAGGTAGATAGGTAGGTAGGGAGGGAGGGAGGTAGGTAGGTAGAGGGAGGTAGGTAGGTAAGTGGATAGGTAGATAGGGAGGGAGCTAAGTAGATAGGTAGATAGGGAGGGAGCTAAGTAGGTAGGGAGGGAGGTAGGTAGGTAGGTAAGTGGATAGGTAGATAGGGAGGGAGCTAAGTAGATAGGTAGGGATGGAGGTAGGTAGAGAGGCAGGTAGGAGCGAGGGAGGGCGGTGAAGGCCTGCTCCTGCTGCTGCTGAAACATTAACCTTGTTTGGAAAGCTTTTCAACTGGCGGCGGCGCAGGGCGGGTGTAGTAAAGCGGGGACTGAAGGCAAATTAGATTAATATTTCAAAGGGAGTTGCCAGAGGGACGATAAGTGCCTTAGGTGAGGCAGCTCCCAAGGGGCGCCCCCGTGGAGTGCGCTCCTCCTGCTGCTGCTACTGCTGGGGGAGGAGGGTACTGGTGGTGATTTAGGGAGGGTAGTGCTGCTGGTGGTGGGGGAGGGTATGGATGGTGGTGGTGAGGGGTGTTGTTGGTACTGGGGAGGAGAGGGAGAATAATGATGGTGATGGTGGGGCTGGTGTTGGGGAGAGGATGGTGGAAAGGTTTTGTGTGATGGGGGAGGAAGAGAACGGGTACTGGTGGAGGAGGGAATGGTGTGGTAGAGTTAACGATGGTTGTAATAATTGTGGAAGTTATAACAACACGGCTAAGAGACCAGATGTCACCGTAACTGTCACCGCTGTAATTAATTCTTGATATAGACGTTAGTGAAGCTGTTTTATCATAATTAAGGTCAATGTCTATGGCAGTTTGTCATTATTTTACCAACATTTCATCTCAAAAGCAAAAAAAAAAAAAAATTACTCAGTGCTGTAAGGAAATTT